TGAACTACCCTTATACAGCCCCTTAAATTACAGCGAGTTTGGGTCTTCGAGTTGGGTGGGAACGCACGGCTCGAACAAGTGTTTAGTACTGTACCCTGTTCATTACCCCATGTTGCTAGAAAGGTACTGACTAGTAACGAGGATCTGCTCGATGGACTCCAGGCTACGGCTCCACAATATATGGAAGATTAAGCATACAAGTGCCAATTCGTGAATCATACCTTCAATTACAATTTCACTTTTCGATAGTTCCCTTTCCACCTCATCTTGACTGACTCCAAATTGATGTGGTTCCAGATGATATGACTTCAGTTGTATGGCTTTCTGAACTAGCTGCATATGTTGTATAGAAAAGAGTCACTCAGAGTTCAAAAAAGGTAGTAAATGGTAGAGAAGTTTTCACAAGAAGTAGCGAAACTATTCTGAAAACAAGTATATTGAGTTCACAACGAATATCGATGTGGAAGGCTTTGGAATGGAGAGCGTGAGAAAAGCCCTGTGATTGGAGGCCACGCCTAGCCCACCAATCACAAACACAATCGGCATGCCCTTCGGTATTTGACCTACCTTCACTACCAATTTTCGTGATAGCTCTCGCCTAAAATACTGCTCACCTCCATCGTAAGCACTGCTGGAAGTTCTTGATAATGAACTTTTACGAGGGTTGCTGCTCGACGAGCTGTCACTGGATCTCTAGCCACTACAAGTCCGATCAGTTGCCCGAATGCCAGCACCTAATTACAAAAGTCTAAGAGGTAAGTAAAAGTCATTCAGTATAAAACAAGTCTGAAAAAGTCACAAACTGTGTACTTACCTCTCCATCGGCAAACATTGGTGTATCATCAGGTCCGAATATATCGCGTAATAATGATCCTGGATAATTTGTGCCTCCTCTGGGGATATCCTGGATTATTTCGAATGAGGTTTGCTTTCTATCATCAATTACTCTGTTCTACCGCTTTGGAACTCCAACAAAATTCAGCCCGACTCGGTTAATTTCGGAGTGTCCCTGCTATCATTCAGTTCTACCTCCGCAGCAGATAGATAACCTGAGCGCCTAAACGAGGCAGCCAGGACAATTGGGAGACGGGCAGTTGAATCAGTTCGTGTAATCGATAGCCGCACGCGGCAGTCACTGACTAGTTGCCTCGTTATCACAGCTTTTCATGCAGCTCGATCGATATGCGATATCTATTTTTGGCTCCATTCTACTGTTTCTTCTTTGTTACTTCTTTTGTTCCTGTATTTCATAATCGCTGCGACATCTCTGCTTCATTCTGCTGTACTCTTTCGCGCGCGACGCCGCTCTCGGGCGGAGCGGCCATTTTGATTCAACTGCACCATACCCCGGACAAATAGATATATCTGGGCCAGTATCAGGTAACGGGAGGCCATAAAAGCGATTTCACTTACATGGATATCGACATATTTCACGACTCCATCAAGGCTCATTGCTTCTGTAGTATCCACTTTGAGAATTTTTGCATGAGCTTCAGTCGAAAGAACAACTGCACCATGGAGGACACCTGAAAATACAAATTCGAAAGGAAAAATTGAAGAAGATTCGATTGTGGAATTCTGTTAGATAAGTTCATGGATTAACTGGAAAATCATGGTATTCTTGGTGATGATCTCTAGGCTGGAGACGATGGGCACACCTACCCACGAAGTTACCGAAATGTCGGTCGCCGTGAGATTTATATGAAAAGAGGAAGAGAGGTAGAGGCAAGAATGGGGGCGGGCTATTCAATCGGTTTCGTATAATCGATTCGCCGCACGCGGCTGTCGCGGACTGGTTGTCTCATTATTGCAGTTCTATCGTTCTTCACACGCTCGATCGGTATGCGATTATTATTTTTGGCATAATTCCACACTTCTTTTTTTGCCGTGTTTTTACTCGCTGCGCTGCTTCTGCTTCATTCTGCAGCATTACTTCAAACGCGACGTCGCTCTTGCCGCGGAGCGACCATTTGACTCAACTGCACCACACTCCTTCGATTTTCACTCGAAATAATGTCGAGGGGGATATCGCTTGTAATAGATTCGCCTAGGTTGGTCGATAAACAGATCCAAGGTAAACAACAGATTTGGTACCAGTTTAATAATTCTAAGGAAGCGAAAGGTCCGATTTGCCTTCTTGAAAGGTCCATTTCAATTCCGAGGTCCTACGGTTGGTAGCGATTAAATTAGGCACCACTTTACTTTCTCCTTACCTTTGACGATTTTGAAAGTGGGCATTTTCTTGTTAAACAAAAAGGATTCATTCACTGATTTATTATATACTACTTATTTTATTTATATATTTTATATTTTCATGTATTATTCAAAAAAAGGTGTAAGACGGGTTGATATTCTGAGAGACACCCAAATCGTAATACCTTCAGTATTTATATCGTTGAAGTAGAGAGCTTCACCGGTCACATACGCTTCAGATTCCGCATATTCAGAGGGACCTGCGTCATCATGCGACCATTCCTTCAATGTAGTAAATATTATTACCCGAAAGTCATCTACAAGGATCATTCCAATGCATCAGAACTTACTGAACCTGAACTTCTAATAGGAAACTGCCGAGTAGTCTTTATACTTACTGAGTATAGCTGTAAAGGTTCAACGGGAACCTCCGGTCCTTCGATACTTTGATCGGGATTATCGCACAGCTCACAAACAGCTGCTCTGATGAGATTCCTTTTGTAGTTGAAATCGGAAATAGACGAATACTGAGCAATGTCATCATCGATGGCGAGAAGAAGCTCATTGAGATGCCTCTTCAAACCATTCAAGCGTCTGAAAAGGCTTTTACAAAATTAAAAAATCCCAGTAATTGATTTGTGACTGAAGAAACAGTAGGCAGATCGTCAAGGCCTTGTATTTCGCCAGTTGTTGTTTACCTAGTAACAGTATCGTGCTGAAGATACTGTTCAATACCACCTATTAATCCTATACCCAATGATATTAGCTATTCTGAGAGAATCATTGAAAAGGAACAATACATATCAGTGCGTAGAAGTCCGCTAGGAGTCTGCTAGTCTGCGGCTTGTTTAGTCGCATTAGTAGGGATTCCAATTGATCGCTAGTATTTACCACTATCGCTCAAAATTATCATACTTTGGGCATATACATATCCAGCAATTGGTTCAGATTACAGTTAGTCAGCGAAATAGAATCTCTGCTATACAGGATAACAAGTAGTTTTATGCTCATCACCACTTGGAATTAACGATTTTTGAGCAAAACGGAAAATATGTAGGAATACGGTAATATCTTCGTTCTTCGGTGAGGCACTAAAAGTCAGGCTCTAACAGTCCATGTTGCAGTTCTCCGCTTAGAACTTTTGTCTTATTACCTTCTCTGATGGAACTGTCGATTTAAGAACTACTGCAGACAGGAGTTTTGGGATATCTCGAGAGGATAAGCCGCGAGCCCGATGTTAGGCTTCAATTAGCGAGTGAAGTCTGTAGGTGTGTGCATGAGCGAAGAATTGATACGACTTATCGATTCAGTTCAATGTATTGTTAGAAGTCTTTTCCTGGAGAGTTCTCATACCAAGAAATATCGCCAGGTCCCTCCTAACTCGTGCCGAAGGGATTTCAAAGGCAAACCAGGATTCAAGCGGATTGATCTCCTATCAAGGAAAAAAGAAGCCGTTTTCATCGACTAAAATATGAGGACATCGCTAAATTATCGATTGGCAACTCTCGGTATCAGAATGTCTTGCCATATAGCCTGGCTCTGATTTCTGGAATGGCAGGCAAACATGTGGTCGACGGGCCGGCCCATTGCTCCTAGTTTTCTGCCCCTCCTCACGGGGTCAGTGTCTGGCAGCAGAAAGATGTGGACGATGTGGTGTCTGTTCCTTAAAAACAAATCCCACCATCGATTGCGTCGTAATATGTGCCACCAAACGGTGCTTGGACTACTAGAAATCCTTTTCTCAACCTACTTGTCAGCCCGAAGGAGAATTTTTACTTTTTTGTGCCATTTCATTTTTTTCTCCATTTTGGTATCTACTTTTGCTGATCCTTTCGAAGTCTTTTTT